AAATTGTTCAGCTTTCACACCTTTTCGGTGCCCAGCCGCCATGCCATCCGAGGGGAGCACGAGAGTTGGGATAGCTCCACGTTGCCCAAGCCTAGACAGGGGAAGTCGAGAGGCAGAGGTCGCGTTCGAACCACAAACCTTCGGGTCAGTAAATTCGCGCTCTAATTACTTGAAACATCTCGTTTTTAAGCCTTGACCAATCCAATCTCGTTTTTATCACCTGCAACTTTAGATGAAGTCCAACACTTGTGCAGACCTGATACTGAGATTCCGTTTCTGAAGTCAGCTAAGTGGCTGAAGTTTTAAACTTAAAGGAAACTACTCATGCTGTTGCTGAAAACTCTTCTACAGCCCGCGACCGGTTTCTCCCTTCTACTTATGGTTCATCAGGTAGGCGCAGTCTCCGAGTCTTCGTCAACCTTATGTTCTACTTGAATACAAATTGCAAGAAATTCGTCCTTTACACGCATTTGCATGACTTGTGCCTAGACAGAATATAAGGCCACTCAGCCTACTATCGGGGAAACTAATTCTCGCGGTCATTTGCTAATGGAGAAGTTGTCACTCGAGGAACCTGTCTATACATGGAAACTTGATGTGGTCTCCGTGTGTGAACGATGAGTGGTGCTGTCCAAGTGAGAGCTAATCACATCGCTCATTAGCTACCTCTGGCCGAATTTTTGAATGTCCAAACAACTAGTCGGCTGGTCGTGGGTTTGAGACTTCCTACTGGAGTTTTGTAGGATTTGAACTGCTGGCGGTTCCCAGTAAGGATAAAATAGCCGTACAGTGCCTGTCGGCTTCACTGACGGGACGAAATTTCGACTAAACATTTACCATAATTGCTTGTCACGTGAATTACATTGCGCTCCAGCCGACTGAGCGGTGATCAAGTGGCTACTCGATCATCCACATTGGTTCCCCCATACTCTCTGGGCACTTACCACGCTGAGCTGCTGCGATGCAAAAGTAGGTTGATTATTTAACAAGCATACCTCCAACAAGAGCGTATATCCACAATTTTCTGAGTAACGTAAGCACTCTACCTCCGAGTAACGTCTATCCAGGCATCTTAAATCCAGCTATATTCGGTGCTGATGTTTCCCATTTTGTTGTACTATTTTTGACTCTCACTGCTGGTTTCATTACTCGGGATGGCTTCCCATAATCTGGACGGACCCTGTTCAGCCAAGCTTCCTCAACTAAGGTCTTGTATTTTCCCCTCAATCTGTTACCTACTTCATCTTTATTTATGATTATCACTGTCCTCCATCCAAATTTTCTTGAATTCCACTTGTATAGCGAA